TACCATTTTTCAGTTGTTTAAGCCTCGCCTGTATCAAACATTCATATAACTGTTATTTAATGTAATCGCGAGTGAAATGATGTTTAAGCCGGACGTCTGTGAATAAGCCTTAAGTGGGCCCAATATGATTGAATGACTTTCTTAACACCAATTGTGATTTTGATGTCCTTTCAGATATTTTAGAAATTGACGATATTGCTATCGTTTACATGCAATCCATATTTAAGCCGTTTATTTTAAAAGTGGTCTAAGTCTATTTTTGAAAGAAATCAAGGAAACTATGTTAATGTTTACATGTCCACGTCCTTTTTTGATTTTAAAGCAAATCATAATTACTTTATTTAAAATCATTAAGATTTCGTCTGACGAAAATTTGATGGTTAACGATTTGAAAATGACCTAAGTCTCATTTTGATAATTTCAACTGAATGGGAAGAATAGTGTAGAATAGAATTTTATGAAATCGTAGTATTGTATGTTTTATTATTATTAAATAATGCTCCCGATGCTCATTGAAGAATTGGCAAATGAGTTATTAGAAAACAGATCAGCACACGGCATTACATAATTCTGGTTTCTATTTTAGTTTTCCTTTCTACGGCAAAAAAATGCTGACAAAGAAAGGGCAAGTTGGTTAAAACTACGTCAGATCACATTTTAGCGAACTGAGCCATATGGCCTGGCCATAGTCTGCAAAACAACAATGTATAAGGAAGCAACATTCAAAAGGATTCAGTTCAGGGAAGCCAAAAAAACTTTAATAATATTGACTTGACACCACTCTCACGAAAAAATGAAATCTGTAACAATACTCAAATGCCACGATCTAATGGACTTATTATACTATATATAACATCTGGTCACGACAATTACTTTAAATCACTTTCGCATGCGCAATAAATAGAATGAAACAGAAACTAATTCCAACAATTTTTTAAGAGAAAACATATGTATACATATATCTTTGAATTTTAAGAGATGTTTTGACTCGTGTTTTTAAAGAATTCGAAAATGTTCATTAAGTTTAAAAGTGTCTTAAGTCCATTTGTAGCAAGTAACCTTGGTTACGCATTCCGATAACGCGTCTTCTGATAGCGCTTGGACACTTTGCCGCCATAAATTCAAGCCAAGTCTTTCCTCAGATGTCAGCTTTATTCGATTCTGGGATATCGTTTTAACTCGACGGAAGAGATATAGTTCCCGATAACAGATAAAAAACGTGACATAGATGTCAGTTAAGGTGCTTGCTAAACTTAAGGACGAAAGTACATATAAGCCCGCGCGATCGCAATGTATAGCGATTTCGTTTTTATGGCGACACTAAAAAATTGAGACGTTACCAGCAAGCTAGTAGCGATTTATTTTGCCGAAATGGAATTCATGCTCCGCCGGAAACGAATGACAATATTTTGAATAAACAAACGTTCAACTGGATTGAAAAATCATGCGAAAGCTATTTAAAGCTTTTAATCAATGATGTCTTTTACAAAAAAAAAAAATAAAAAAATAAAAATAAAATAAATAAATAAAATAAATAAATCTATGCAATTCGATTGCGAACAAACAAATTCAGAAATCCAATTTGTTTAAACTAGTTTAACTTAATTAAAGTAAGTGACCTGTAAATAGAATTTAAAAACAACCGCATCGATTTTAAAATGTGATGCATACACAAATAAACTAAACTAAGAATATTTTATATCACCTCTGTGCGAATCATGGATACCCATCATCTAAGAAAGCAAATGAAAAAAATCACAATATTTTCAATTTGAAACCCGTAGGTAATTAGGACATAAAATTATTATCGTGATGTAAATAAACTATTGGACTTTCGGTTCGGTTCTTCCTGCTGGTCACAGAAAACAAAGCAAAAAAAAAAAAATACAAAGGGTATTAGTCTTCAGTAATCTTCTTTTAAGTATCGCGAATCAAAGGCCGATGGGTGTGTCCAATTTTTTGATTTGCTACCCGCAGAACTATAACAGATAACAGATAGATGGAAAATTGTTGAAGAGATCGATACGATTAAATTATTTAAGTCAAGCATTTGCACGTAATCCTAAGACAACAAAATTAGCATAGCTTATATGCTTATATGTAGGTAAGTATATATGAAAGTTGGGTTAAAGTGATTTATGCTGAAGCTTTATATTACATTTTCGATAAAACATGCAATGCATTTATTTCTGTGTAAGCGCATGCACTTGCAATCGCCGGATTATGAGTATGTGTGTGTGTGTGTGTGTTTGCATAGATGCTATGGCAAAAATTTTTGTTTGATTTGACAATTTTTGTTTTTCATTTGCGGTCATTCATCACATTTATCATTCTAGTGTACTGTTTATTTATTAACAAACGCATATTTGCATCAGAATTCCTGGAATGTTTGCTTACACACAATATCTAACGGAACACGATACGACGACGACGACGACGTAGAGATCTCAATTCAAGATTGTTTTGTGTGTGCTTATATGAGTAAGCGTAATGTGAGCATATCTATACGTATATATGTATATGTGTGTTTAACTATCCGACTAAGTCAATTCGCGAAATAAGTTAAAAAATGAAAACTTTTCTAAAATTTTAACATATCTTCATAAGCATTTTCCTATGAAAATTTTAGATATTGAACTATGCGTTATGAATGTTCGATTATCAGCTTTTTTCACTTATTAAGCAGCGAAAAAGTCTCTATCTATGTGCATATGTAGATCTTCAAGCAATGGAAACTTCATAAATATATCCAATGACTTTTGATAAGAGCAAAAGTTTGTGCGAACGTGGGCTATATCGGAAATGAGTTGGAAGAGTTTTGCCTGTCGCTCCATGAAATGTTTCAGAACCATTTCCCAAATCGATATAAGCATACTTGCCCGTCTATCCATCTATCCAACTGCTTGCCTGTTCGTAATTTCCAAGATATATCAATGAAGTTTTGTGCACTGACATGTTTTGAGAAAGGCATTATATGAGTGAAATCGGTAGTATTTCGTTACATTAAACGATTGCAGAAAATTTGAATGGGATGGGACTATTTCTATGCCCTCTTCCATGTAATGCATAAGCTTCTCTATGATAAAAAGGTCAAGTTTTTAAAATTTAAAATAAATGAAAAATGAAAAATAATTATGAAGTGGACAATGGAAATTTATTGTCAAGAGGAAAGAAAGTTTTGAGTGAATTTCATATAAAACTGTTGTTTTTGAAATTTGAATTGACTCAGAGCGTTTTCAAAATTATGGGCAAAAATTAAATATACTGCGGTAAGTTTGGAATACACAGAGGGTATTATATGGAAGTCCATGCCCTACTCCCTACAGAAGAGTAAGCCTTTTTTGTCGCTCAAGATTCTTCTTCTTACAAAATCATTATTTTTATTGTTTATATGAAGAAATCTGCTACCGAAGCAAACCAAATACGTTCAGATGCTTATGGCGATGCTGATCCATCATATCCCAATTGTTAGTGGTGGGAAGTTCTGCCACATCTAGCGTACTCACTGGACATGGCGCCACCTGATTACCACTTGCTCAGCTCGGTGCAAAATCGCACGCGGGTCCACAAAGTTGAAGAAGTGCGAAAATGGGTCGATGGATGGATCGTTGCCAAACCAATATAAGCTCTCTCGACTTCATATCGCCATGTGGCGAAAAATATTCCAAAATGTTGTAGAAAATGATGAAAACCATTTTGATTAATGATAAAAATTTTTACAACCCCTCAATATGTCGAGAAGAATACATTGAACGACTTGAACAGTCCTAGGTTAGTCATAAGTATGCCCTACCCTAGTACCAAGGAGAGCCCTTGATTTTTCAAGTGAAAAAGTGATCAAAATTTTTGCAACCTCCCTATATATCAAGAATAATACAGTCGTCGACTTGAACAGTCATAAGTTAATCAGTAGTATGCCCTGCCATCAAGGAGGGCCTCAAATCGACAAATTTGTGTAATTATTTTAGGGTGCAACTGCAATAAGGTTTTCTCGCTTGCCTCCTTACATTTCTGATGCGGAAAATGTCAACATGAAGTTTTTACATTGATTAGCTTTGTTTCTTTTTTGTTAAAATTTAAATAGCTATAAATAATAGCGATACTTTTACATAACCACACCTACATTTTTTACATTTAAACTAGATTTTTTATAAAAAAAAAATTTGAATTCGAAATTGTTGTAGATGAATAAATGTACTCGCTTTCATCATTACATTGGTTGCACAGATAGATAGATAGATAGATATAACCTCAAATGCATATCCATTAGACAAATGTGAATATTAAATTTTGCATTATTGTACGTCATTGTAACGCTTAGTGCGAATGTGCAATTTTTCTATTTAAAATTTAAACGAACATGATCATTTTTCATAAAACAAACTGGCACAAGTAACGATCAGATGATCCATTTCATCATTTTATCTTTGCTACTAAATCATGAATTTACGTTACTTAAAAATTTGCGGACTTGATAAGCCTTTTAGTATATTCTAAGTGAGTAATTTTTGTTTTATGCATATATATACACATATTTTGTATACAAAAAAAGCCCATATGTTTACTTAATCTAATGATTCTTTTCCTTTTAGCATAAGCTTGAACTGTCAGAGATCTGGGCAGAAAGTGTTCTTCTGAGATTGTGGGTTTTCAGTGCATTTGAGTGCGGTAATAAATTGCACAATTAAGCAGTCAATTATGAGAAACATTAAAGAAATTTACTTTTTAAAAAAAATAAATTCATTCATTTTTAGTGCGCAATTCAAAGCGATTTGCAGACGCTCGGCAAATAAGTCGTTACAATTTATTCGCGACTTGCAATGACTTTAGTCAGGCTATTTTGGTTCTTCTCTTTTGATTGATTTCGATCTCATTCGTCCTTTCGCAGATCTACATAGGTCTTCGGCTATGTTAGATACAAAGTGAGAGTTAATTCTTAAAATTACAGTAGATATTAGCCGACAGATGTCTATGGTGGTTTACCTTGTCGGGTACAATACCTTGTCGGTTTAATCCCACGGTGCCCGATCACACGCGGGTAAATTTTTCATAACCGGCGCTCTCCAGAGAGTTAGACCATCCCTAAAAGCTAGGAGCTTAACCTACACTGGAGAAATCAGATATGTTTATTGTGTATGGCTCAATAAATCCACTCTGGGGAATGTTGAGGCCTATCATTATTTCTAATTATTCGCTTTAGGAATGATAGAAACAAGAACCACCACGGTACCCTCCGAAGGACTCACACCAAGCAAGTACCAATGTGCAATATACCAATGCTGTTACCTCTACCCGTAGGTACTCATGCCGTAGTGAGTGGGCTTCTGACCCCTGTGGAGCTTAAAGTTAGACTATAAAGCCTTTATCGTTACTTTACGCAACATAGTCACGGTTTCCTTCGGATTAACTATACAATCCCAGCTAGCCAACACCGGACTACCCTTTTTCAAGATATATTAGGATCATGACATCTGATATGGCGGGCAGTACCATGTTCTCCGCTATTACTATAACAACATATTTTACGTAACCAGTTACCAGCTAGTTGGTTAGTATCTCCTTCTTAGACACAGTGTGTGAGAAAAGATTGCTTCTTCCAGTGTACTCCTAAGCTATCTTTCAGAAAACTTGTCGCCAAGTTATAGGTAGTCCAAGCGTCCAATTCTTCTTCGCCGGCCAAGACCGTTTCTAGGCATCACCACAGGCAAATCTTTGCTCCCTCAAAAGCCGGCAAGAGGAATCGCTGAAGAGATCTGGCAAAGTTATCCAACTCAGTTTCCGCTTTTCGTCTTATTTTGGCAGCTGTCAAAGCCCGACGTGTCGCCTGGCTTTTCTTTTTTCTTTGGAGTGGTAAATTGTGAGCCGACAAGAGAAGTATCGAAATAGTAACCACACTCGACATGGCTAAGTTAAGATGCGTGAACGCAAAGTTAAGTAATATGAATCAATTTTACGATGAAACTTGTCATTCGGCTGCCAATTCGTGTTTCACATGTCGTTACACTGGATATAGAGAAAAAAATTTTGAAAGTTGTTCTCTAGAGTCACCTGACATTCTAAAAACCTCAAAAATGCAGAGAAGTCATTACTTGCGATTTGTATGAAATATGATTTGAATTGTAGAAGCATTCGACCGATTGTATCATTTGCGAAGGAGAGTATATTGGTGAACAAACTTGAATTTTGAGAAAAAATATTTTCTCAAAAAAATTTCACCACCGATAGGAGAACAACAACAAATAAAATTAGTTGTAAAAAATTGTAATCAGGGGAACTTTAGGTCGACCTCGTGACAAGGTAAAGATTTTATAATGATTTTTGTAGGGGCTAGACTTGAGCAGAATTCGATTTACAGGCCTTTTTTGAAAAAATTTTGTTATAAAGAAGATGTGTTAGTCGCGATATAAAATGAAGATGTTAACGCCCCAAGCGCCCGATTACAAAACGTGTTGCCTTCTTTTAGTTCGAAACCTATTGAAATGTTGTTGTTGTTGTTGTTGTCAAATTGAAACTTAGCTGTGATCGCTAAAGGCCGAAGAACTTTCATCAGATCAATCAAAACTTTTAACAGCTTTATGCCTTTGCTCACTCACGAAAATATTGTTTTTGTTTTTTTTTGTTTAACAGTTGGCGCGAGATAAAAGTATTTCGTGTGCCGATCTGTTTGTTTTAACATCGCAATGTTAACGAAATGATTTGCTATTTATTTATTTTTTTTTTTAGTCAAATAATTGATGCGAAAACAGTTGAAAGAGACTTCGATGGTTTATTTCATATATTTATGTGCATATCCACGTGGCGATAATTGTTGACCGCTTAAGTAAGTTTTCAATATTTTCTTATTTACTTTACAGTTTAGTTCTAAAATTTTGTGGCATTTCATTTATTATTTTTTCGCCATGGTTTATATTAGTTATGTTTATGTTATTTGCAGTTGACTAATGGCCTCTGGCAATGTATACTATGACAATTTGTACTAATCCGTTCACGAGAGTCAGCGCATGTAATGTATACATAGTCGTTTGATTTCAAGCCTGAGCTACACGACAATCAAGTAAAAAAGTGAATTTTGCTCAAATAACTTAGTAAAAGGTTTTAAAGTATTTTGTTATTTGCGGGCTGTTAGGTGATCGGTCATCAGGTTTAAGTATTTTCATCAAACATTAGTAATCATATGTGCTACGAGAGTGCTATGAGAGTTATGAGAGAGGAATATCCCGAAATTCTCGTTTTTTTTTTTTTTAATTTTTTTTTTTGTTACGTACTATATGCGTACATAATGACCATGTTGTATGTACTTTAATGTGTGCGTAGGAAATTGTATTTAACATTAAATTTTTCATATCAATTTCCGCGACAGAGCGACTTTCCTCAAAGAATCTATAAAGACGAAAATGGACAAATCGTCTGAGGGTTCCTCATCTGGATTCTGGTCGAAGACACTTCAGGATTTTTAAAACATTTTACATTAACGAAGTGTCTCGTAAATAAGAAAAATATATTTTTGAAAGGTTTACAACTTACAAAAACTCTTCATTTTTCTCAAAAAAAATTCATAAAAATCCTGTGAAGTACTTTCTTAAATATATCTTTCTCTTTTGAATTTTTTTTTAAACGATTTGATTTTTTTTTAAGGAAATTAATAAAATTAGAATTTTTTATAAGGTTTTTTCCGGGTCAAAAAATACTGTAGAAATTGTTGAAAAATTTTTTTCAAATTAAACATATTTTTGAAAAGGTATGTTTCACGTTTTTCTTAACGCATTCAACACCAGCTTTTTAAAGATATGAATCGCTTTCTAATTTTATATAGCATAGCTATGTTTAGCATAACTGATAAATACACAAGTATTATGGGAACTTTATAACTTTCCTACACTTTCTGTTTCACGCAAATATATCTATGTATATATGTAGTTCAGAGAAAAAAGTGACATATATATATATATATATATATATATAGAACAAATTTTGAGGATATCGAAGAAAATTTTTCCAAGGACACTTTATAAATATGATACACAGTTCGAAAGATTCATCGGATCAAAGATTTACCTGATATTAGTTTCATTTTTGCTCAGAACTTGGTTTGGTCGCAGTGACTGTGTCCATTTCCGCGATAATATTTAAAGCTTGAGTTTCAAAAATGGTAAAGACCTTATTAAACATAAGTTTACGTTAAAAAAAAATTATATAATGTATGTTCTGGATTAAACTAACAATGGAATGAGTAATGCCATCCCTCCTTACTAGCGTTGTCATGTTGAATCAGTAGAGTCTGTTTAGAAACAATTCTCGCTTTATGGTTGTAGGAATCTCGTTACTTTCTTAGACTATCACTACTCTATAACTCTACCTTTACGAGATCAGAGCAGGCTCAGCTAAGGTAACGCTTTCTTACTGATGTGCATAAAGTTCACTATAGACTTCTTTAACTTTAATATATAAAATAAACTTATCATAGTTCTTTTATAGGAACTAGCCATTCATAAAGCTCGGACGATGTAAACGAGCTGTTCAACCTGTTTGACACTTTTCGCAAAATTCTAAATTATGTTTATAATGTCATTATTGAACTCTTCTTGAACTCTTATTTCTTATAATACTTTAACACTACCAGGGAACACTCACATATCTTTTGCATTTTTGTCTACAACTTTCGATCAAGTCAATATAGATCTGAAAAGCTGTCACCCAAGTATTTTTGGTTCAAAAATTGTACCGATTTCTTTATTAATACGTCTACAAATAACGAGAAAATTTTAATTCCAAATGACTTCCAATGTATTTCCCATTCCCGTCTAACGCATATTGGATTGGATTTTATCGTTCATTGTGAATGTGTTAGTAAACTGTTTAGAAACATTTTTGCTATTGAGCATGAAAGTGCAGTCTGAACTGAACATCTGTGTCATAAGTTTCCGAAAATATCGCCATGGGATCGAATGCAAGTTACAGAAGGAAATGTGAAAAATATTGTTGCGAGGTAGTTTTAGTTACTTTGTCGGGGTGTTTGCAGGTAGATCTCGCCGACATTTTAACCTGATATTCTTAATCGATCTCTTCTCTTTGTTTGTTCTTTTCTATTGACAATTTTTTTTTTTCTTTTGTTTTGTTTAATTTAAGATTTTTTATTTAATTTCATATGTAAACTAAAAAATAAATATCGCAGCTCAACTCTAAATCTAAGGGCTATCTTTGTTTGAGCTTTACACCACACTATCTGTGATTTGGGTGAAATGTGCACAACGTGCTCGTTTTCAGCTTTATCGAATTATTTACAAACAGCATTTGCTTATACGAAGTGCTTGTTATTTTACTGTTCAATTTGGAAGGAAGCGTTGTTGAAAGCAATCGATTTTCGTCGATCATAGAAAATGGACGTACTACGAGACGTACTCTGGGAGAAGAAAAAAAAAAACCTGAATGAAGCTTGGCAAACTTACTCCCTTTAATTATCAACTGTTTCATTGGATGAATGCTCGACGAGCGTCTAAAGACGACCTTTTACGCACTTTTTTTTTGACACTTTAAAGGAGAAGGAAAGTAGTGACTGGAAGTCGACAATTCGTAAATATTTTTCATAATAAAAATGGTGTCGTGTGAAACTAATGCAAACTCAGAATACACAAAAAAAAAAAAAAAAAAAAATGAATTTTTATGGATCGTTTAGATGAATGGACTAGCTTTGTCAACGATAGGACAAAATACATCCGGTAGCGTGACGAGTTTCTATTACTTGTTGATCCTTTGCGTTCATTTTTATTTTCTTGTTGTTGTTTTCTTCTTTTCATAGTTTCTCATAGTTGAGTTATACATTGATGTCGGTTGTACTCTGGCCAACGATAGCATAAAAATTGAAAATATCAATTCAATCTTATTAGAAATGCTTGTAAATGTGTAAAACATTGACTGACGTTATAAAAAATTTAATTGTAAAATGAAGCGAGCAACTTGAAAATATATTTTTGTGTAGATAAGAACAATTGCAAGCGGTTTACTACGCGGATGACCGTAACCATATTCAAATTGGTTTATGAAAAATGGAATAACAAATGTATAATAAACGTGCTGATGCTACCGGAAAATTCGAAAAAGTGGCAGTAACTACTGCCTTAACTTAACTACTGGACTGTCAAGTTTTTAAAACTTAGTCAGGCGGATCATGCCTGCACTTTAATAATGCACTCCACGAGCTTATACAAAAAGAAGAAACCATAAGCTCCCCGAAAGAGCTAAGAGAAGCAATTAAAATATTTTAATTTAAACTTTAGCAAAATCTTAAATATAATAAAATGCAAATGCAAACATAGCACGTGAGAATTCGAGGAGAACACCACCTAACATCAAAAAATTTTTTTCGTGTTACAGAAATACCTTATAAATCAAATTAGGAAAGATGATGTGACGGCCTGTTAATGGTGCAGTTGTCTTTGCTCGGTATTTATGTTTCTGTATCGAAATTAAAAGATAAAAAGCAAAAGACATTTCTTTTTATCAAAATCAACAAACACCCACAGTATTAAACACTCACACTTTTGAAAAAAATTAAATGAACAGCAAAAAATTGTTAAATTTTTTACACAACGTACACACACCTTTTTACAAACATGCAAACATTTGCATGCACATTGTTGGTAACAAGTTAACAACTACAACAGATCGCCTAGTCACCCATAAAACGCATATAAATTTATTTGATTCACTTGGCGTTTAATTATTCGCTTGCTTTCTATGTTTATAAACTCAAATAATTCAAACTAATTATGACGCTTAACAAGCAATGCAAACTGAATTTATTCGTTTGTGGAAGACAGACGTGTATTTTGTTTTTTGATGAATGTGTTTCATAGTTTAACGCTCGCTTTGCTTTCTATTTTAATTTATTTTCTTTATTTTATTATTATTATTATTATTATTATTTTGTTTTTTTTTTTGGTTGCATGCTTCAACGAATTATGTATCTGTCCACTTTAACCGCTATTGCAATTGTTGTTCGAAACGCGTTGTCTTGCTTTACCTAATTTTTAATGTAATTAAATATATTAATATTAACACTGTTTTAATTTTTTTTTCATAATTTTATTATTTATAATATAAAAAACATTTATTAATTAATTCTATATATAAGAGTATTTACTGTTTTTTAATAGTTTCCTTTTTCACTATAATACATGTATTTACGCGTATTATTTCGCAAAAGCATTCGCGTTAAGAAATTCGCACTTCCTTCCCATTCAAAACACTAAAAAAAAAAAAAAAAAAAAAAACGTGATTTTAACCAATAAATAATTGAAATCAACAATAGAATTATAATAAAATTTTTAGGAATGCGACAGTCATTACCCCCACAATTATCATGTTTATTTTGTGTGTAATGTATGTTGTTATTAGAAAAAGTCTTTTTGACGCGCACTGTTTTAACGATGTTTACAAAATATTTAAATTATTTTTTAAATTTGCGTTTCAATCACGATAACTTTAAGAAGAAAAAAAATTTATTATATTATATTAATTAAAGTTTATTTATTTATTTATTATTATTATTTTTTTTTTTGGTAGATTTTTCTTGTGGTTTCACGCTTTAATTAACTAATTTTTTTTACACATTATCTACTATATTTTAACTTTAATTTAAAGTTAAAAAAACCATATCTCTGCCTTTCTTGATTTCTTGATTTCTTGAAATTCACACACATTGAAATAGAAATGTTTGGATTTATATAGTAGCTCTATTTCTTTCTCTCTCTTTCAGACTCAAGTAAAACAATCGTAAAATTATCTCCTCTCAGAGTAACATTTTCTTTTGCTTTTGACTGAGAGTAAAATTTACTTTGCCGTATATTTCTTAACGAGGCCCCAAAAAGATGCTGAGAATAGTAAAATGCAATTTCTGAGAGTAAAATTTACTTTGGTGTACACTTCTTATCGAGGCCCTAAAAAAGTGCTGAGAATAATAAAATTCAATTTCTGAGAGTAAAATTTACTTTGCTGAACCAAAGAAATAAAACAAAAACACTGGTTATATGGAAAGAAATCTCCTCTCAGAGTAAACAAAACTACAATAACAATACCAGCAATACTACGATGCACCCAAGTAATCAAAGAAATTTCTCTGAGCGCAAACAAGACTTTGCAAAGCAATGCCAGCAACACTCAAAGTAAGTAAAGAAATTTCTCTCAGAG